GCTCGACCTCTCCTGGAACGTCAGCTATACCGAGCAAGCCGTGCATTTCCAGCTCCTCATCAGGGACCTGCGCTTCGGGCTCCTCTTCGGGATGTCGGACAGGGGCGAGTTCGAGAACGCGGACCTGGCCGTGCTCTGGAGCGACGGGCACAATTCCTATTTTGGGGTGAGTCGCTTGTGTGCTTGCATGGCTGCTTTTGGGGTTGTGTCCCCGTGGGTGAACCTGGCTCGCGGTTCGGCAGAGCGGGGCTGGCGCAGGGCACGGCGCAGGCTGGACCGCTGCCGCTGCTCAGGTGGAAGGGGTCCAGGAGGGCTCGGGGGTTCTGTCCCAGAGGGACTCACAGATCAGGTCTACACTATGGGTTTGGCACAGGATCTTAAACCCCAAGAGAAAAGAGTAAATGCAGCAGCACGTCAGCAAGGCTGAGTGGCACCAAAACCTGAACGTTTCGGCTGTGCTTAGCTGCAAAGAGCTCCAACAGGCGCTTGCACAGACGCGCCCAGATGCCGGAAGCATCAACACCTTGGTTCACTTCTGCGCTGCTGTCAGTCGCGTGAAAAATTAACCACGGCTCCCGTTAATGACTTTGAGCAAGTGCAAAAGGTATCAGCCAGAAAGCCGGCTCCTGCCGGCCCCAATAACCCGGCCGCGAGCCGCGCTCGACGCTGGCGCGGGGATCAACAGGACACAGGAAAACACAACCTGACGGCTGCTGCCAGCAGCGCGGCGCTATCGGAAATTAAATATGCAAATGTATTTGAGCCGTATGTAAACACCTGGTGGTAGCAGGTTGGGGGGGACTCATTTCTAACTTTGCTGTTTGATTTTGCTACCGCAAACGGCTCTCCTTTCTCACACAGGCCGTTTGCCCGGGTTCTTCTTTGGTTTGTCTTTCCATGGAGGCTGCAGTTACGGTAACTACCCCCGAGCTCGCTGGCAGCCGCCTCTCCCCACACCACCGCATTAGGCTTATTGCGATTGTGCTCGGCTGCAGAAAGCAATTCCCATTTTTCCCCGTGTGAGGCTTCCCAGTAAGTTAAATTTTACCTCTCTGCTTGCTTCAAATTAACCATAAAATACATTCTTTCACAATCAGCCGCAACATGATCTGCAGTGTAATGAAAGGAGGAAAAGGAGGGCTTATTATCGGTACTGTTTTCCTGCTAATTACCAGCCATTCAGGATGTGTGGTGGCCCGAATGCTACAGTATTTCACACCATCATGTTAAAAAAACCATAAAAGATCATTTCTAACCTGCCTTCATGCGCTCACTGAAAGACAAACAGTGCTGAATTAAACACGGGGCAGCATTTGGGCTTTCTCTTTCAGTTGGTGCTGAACAACATCCTGCAAGGAGATTTCTATAAATCTCTCTAGTCCTGGTTTTCTCTCTCCCAGCAGCCTTTCTTCTGGATAAGTATGTCAGTTAAAAGGATGCAAATTTGCTTAACCCCCCATGTACTATGAGATTAATTTGCACACCATACTCTTATAAAAACAAAAGTCATGCCAGCTTCATGTAGCTGATTTTACTCTCCCCCTCTAAGGACAGTATGTTCTCGAAACATCACTCTATACTTCTGGCTCAAATGGTGCCAGGGTGCTTTATGCTTTTTCTGCTGGTTTTTTCCCCCAGGACAAGAGAACCGATGCCACTTGTGTACGTACAGCGAGGTACTTCTTAGGTGCCTTTTCTCGGTAAACAAAAGATAGCAACAGGAGTTGTAAAAGATCAAGACAACAGCACTTCAAATCCAAATTATTGCAGGATTTTATACTCCAAACCTTCAAATCCTTAAGCACAGGAGTAACCTACTGCTTCGCTTCTCGGTGTGGCTTTGTCACCACCAGAAACAGTGAGCAGTTTTTGGGAGGCCTTGCTGGGCTGCCGAAACAATCTGGCCACAACAAATTCAGGATTTTGAAGAAGGGAAGTGATTTCTAGGGCTGACGCTGCAGCCCAGCAAGGGTCTGATCTTAAATTGCAAGCGGCTGGTTTATGGCAAGGGTCTTGGAGAGCACATCACTGCCCCCCCGAGTGTCCCCCCCAGCCAAATACACCCAAACCCCAGCACAGACCAAAGCAACACCTTCACGTGTCCCTGCAGGCTTTCCTCCTTCCCCCAGTCGCATCTCAACTTGTGAAGGTCTTTTTGCAGACTGTTAATGCTGGGTCACGTCTTTCCCAAGTCTGCCTGTGCCGAGCACCAAGGGTCTCGTGGCAGGGGCCACGCTGGCCCGGCTCTGCCCGCGGGCTGCTGGAGGGCAGCATGGGGCAACCAAAACACGGGCTCCCTCCACCTCTGGGACACGGAGGGTGAACCAACCGGAGGGTGAACAGGAGGAGGCCCTCACGACTCGCGGTTCCACTGGAGGTCACCGCCGTGGGCTCCTCGGGCTGAGTGGGGCCAGCGGAGCCTCCCGGCTTAGCGGGGTGCTCTTCCTCTTGCAGGACGCCTGGAGCGATGCCACGGGGCAGCTCCACATGGACTTGCAGCAGGACTACCAGCTCCTCGGGGCTCGGAGGGCTCCCGAGGGGCTCTACCTCCTCTTCAGAAGAGCCTTCAGCACCTGTGACCCCAAGGACTACCTTATAGAGGTACGGTATCACCTCCACCCCGCTACGGCAGGCCCCAGCCCCACCACAGCCCCGGGGCACCAAGCTGAGCTCCAAACCCCAGCCTGCACGGTCATACCTCACCGGTGTTTTGTTCTGGGGACAGCATCGGGCGTTTGCGCTGTCTAGGGCAGAAAGGAAGCGTGCTACAGATGTCAGCCCGGGGACATGAGTAATGTTTGGCACGATCTATTTACAACCCCTAATAAACCTCTGCAAAGTGTAGATTTTAGCTCGTTTGCATCATCCACTCCGGTTAAGCATGTGTTAGGTCTGTATAAATACCCTCCTGCACCACTCCTGTTTACAGTCTGGAGCCAACTGTTTGGAGTGTTACAAAGGGGTGTTGGTGGTGTTCAACGGGAGGCAAAGAGGAGGGTTTTGGCAGATGCCAGAGCAAAGGGATGGCAAATAGAGCTGCTGTGGTGTGCTGCTTGTGTGTGGTTCGGCAAAGTCTCTCTGGGTCTGCATTCACCGCTCCCTTGTGAGATGGGATTTGGGGGAAACCTTCTCAGTGGGGATGTCAAAGAGCTTTGGGGTCTCAGCCATAGACCCTGGGTGCAGGCAGGGATCGGCGCAAGGCTCATTTCAGATGAAAGCCTTTGGTGGACAGGATATTTTAAAGCCAACGTGGGCACAGAGCATCCTTGAATTTTTGTTGCTGGTTTTCAAAAGCTTGTTTTGCGGTGAGAAATGTCTACTGTCTGCCAAAACACAGAGAGCCCTGGAGGAAAAAAATCTATGTGTGAACCGGGAAAAGACTTGCAGGTCTTTATTCCCTGATCCTTTCAGACAAAAAATATTCTTTTTCCTTTCTTCCTTATCTCCTGTCCAGAGCTCACTGGGTTCAGCAGCACCTTCCTTGCTTGCAGGTGACTTTCAGCAGAGCCTCTCTCGGTATACCCCAACAGAAGTTGGGAGAAAGGGAGGTTTTCAAGGAGTTTTGTTCCTGCTGTTCCTCCCCAGGCTGCTGCCCGTGGCCCCTGCTGGGGCTGGGCTGCAGGGTGGGACGAACCCTGAACCGACATGGCCATGGCCATCCCAGCCTGAAGCTCAGGAGGGACGGGGGGCTCTGAAAGAGCGGAGTGGAGATGTTACACTTACGGAACTGATGCCATCTAGGGAAAACTTTTCAGACTCTTCCAGCTGGTAGGGAACCTTCTGTGATCAGGTCAGCCAAAGAAATGCCCCTAAATCTACAGTCTCTCTGGGACAGCCCATCAAAGTGAGCTACTAGTGAAGTCAGGGTTGTTTCCCATCTGAGGAGGGGTCCAGGCCCACTCCTGGATTCATGCCAAATACTGGTGCTAATAGTCCATGCAGTTCACATTTCCGCATGAAAAACTACCTGATGTACTTTGATCTCACTTCAGGATGGCACTGTGCACCTTATCTATGGGATCCTGGAGAAACCGGTCCATTCCCTCCAAGCCATCAACATCTCTGCCATCCACAGGGGACTGCAGAGGGTGCAGCTACTAAAGCCCAACATCACTGTCCCTGAACTGCCCAGCGACATGAAGACCATGGAGATAACGGCCCCCAATATTGTCATTCCCAGCCAGGAGACAACCTACTGGTGTTACATGGCAGAGCTCCCAGACGGCTTCCCCAAACATCACATTATCATGGTAAGAGGCAGGAGAAGAGGGTTGCTTTCTCTGGTTTACATCAGCAACCACGTTCACATTCAGCCATTCTGCAAAGTCCACCTCTTCCCTGCCCTTTCACAGGGAGGCTTTCAGATCCATACATCTTCCCCAACATGGTACCAATACATCTCCCAGAAGCATCCCACCAGCCAGTAGCATCCTCATGTCTCCTAGAGAACCTGCAGCCAGAAGTTTCTCAGCAGGAGGTGGCAGGTTGGCGACTGGAACAGGGCTGGCAAGAGCAGGGCAGAGCTAGCCAGGATACAAACTGGCTTCTGAAAGATTAGGCATGCTCCAAAAAAGAAAAGGTCACGGGCATAAACGCAACTTGTGTGCGTTGCCCAGACGTGTTGCACATGCTTGGGTCACCTCCCCCAAAGAAGAGCCAGAAACCTGCAGGCAGCCTAGTGCCGGGGAGAGGCAGGCGCCAGGCCAGCCCGACCACCCATCACGAGCTGCTGGGACAGCATCGCCCCGGCAGGCGCGGAGCTGGCTCGGCAGATGACCTGGCACACCCAGAGTCAAAACCGCACGACGGGGAGAGGGAAAACCTGACACACGGGCCGAAGCGAGCGCGTGGTGATTTATAGGGGAGGGACAGCTTTGCAAAGGAGAACTCAGAAGGAGGATTTTCTCTCTAGCAGATGGTGTGAAATGAATCATCTGTGTGTAAGTAAAAAGTGCGTAACTCCTGATACCTTCCCGCTGCTGCAGATCATTTCTACAGCTGGCACTTTTAGCAAGAGATGTTCCTCAGGCTCGTTTGAAGTTACTCTTTCTATCCCAAATCCCCCTCCCCGTGCCCCGAGCGGCTGTTAGCTAGAAACGAAACCCAAGAGCTGCATGCAGACCTACCACAATGTGGCCAGGACCCTCTTTAGGAAAAAGCAATGTCCCCAGGGTCACTTCAGCCCTGCAAAACTGGCAAAGGACTCGGTCATCACAAAGCAGACCAAGATCTTCTGCTGATCAGGTGCATCTGTCACTGGAGAAGGGATGAGATGTTTCTCAATGGGCTCTGGAGGACTCTGGGTTGGTCCCAAATCCAACCAAGAGCTCTTGGCACTTGGTGCCTCATGCCCAGAGCAACCTTTCCTCCCCATCACACAGCAGAAACTGTCTCCCATTCAGTGACAGATAGCAGACATACCTGCCTTGGGCTCCTTGTGGAACCTGCACAGACAGCAGCCTCCGGGGATGGGCTCTCAGCAAACGGTCTTAATGTGTCCTCCTTCTTGGGCACCGCTTTGCAGTACGAGCCAGTGATCACAGCCGGCAATGAGGCCCTGGTTCACCACATGGAAGTCTTCCAGTGCGCTGCTGAGTTCGACAGCTTCCCCCATTACAACGGGCCCTGCGACTCCAAGATGAAGCCAGACCGGCTCAACTACTGCAGGCACGTGCTTGCAGCGTGGGCCATGGGAGCGCAGGTGAGTGCAAGATGGGACCTACCGCCCTGTGTGAAAGCTTTGCTCTTGGGTGCTTTCCTGCCGCCCCCCAACCCTTCCCAATCCCATCTTGGGGTTGTCCCATGCGGGCTGCCCCAACCCTCCTCTCTGCTGGGATTTGTGTCCAGCCCTGTCTGAGCTCCCCCAAAATGTGTCTGAGTTTCCACCCCACCCCAGCCGACCTCCTCAGTGCCATAAATCTCTGTGATGCCCCTTCTCAATGGTTCCGCCATTGCATGTGCATGCCGGCACATGAGAAGCCTTTTGAAGCGAGACCAACTCGCCAAGCACAACCAAGAGCACAAGTCATGTCCCTCAGCCCACAGCGGGGGTCAGGATTATGCCCAGACATTTCCTTTAGGCTTTTCAGCCTTGTCCCCAAGAAAACCACCCTACCATTCCCCTAACACCCTCCCTCTTCTTCCAGGCTTTCTATTACCCTGAAGAAGCAGGTCTTGCCTTTGGTGGCCCAGGCTCCTCCAGATATCTGCGCCTCGAGATTCATTACCACAACCCCCTGGTGTTCAAAGGTGAGTGGGCACGTGGCGATGCCCGGTGCCTCGAGTGGGATGAACACCAGGCACTGCCACCCTGCCAGGGAGGGTTTCGTACAGAAGAAAACTTGGCCAAAATCATAGCCCTGTTTGCAACTCTCTGGAGACTTCATGGTCCAGATCTGCGCTCGTGGGAGAAATATATTAAATCCCCACCATGCTGCTGCCTTTCTGGTCTCAGTGAAGTCATCCTCAGCGGAGGCTGGACCCCATCTTTGTGCATGCCCAGCGGTGGGGAGGGAGGCTCAGGGCAGCCCGCAGCCCCCCAGGCAGAAAGCTGCCCTGACACATCATTCCTGCCCGGCAATGGTCCAAGGCGACAGCATCAGTCAGCTGGGCTGCCACGGGGGTCCCCACAATTCCTGTGCGAGGGGGTGGCGGTGGGTCTGAGCCCAGAGCCAAGAGCAACAGCGGTGCCAAAGTCACCAGAGAGACAGCACCAGCCTGACTGGGGATAGGGGAATTTAGATGTTGTTTTACTGGTACTCCTGCTTCAATAACATTGTCAGGAGACACATTAAAAAAAAAAAGGATTCCAAACAACCCAGTTTCTTCATTTACATAAAAACAAGTAGCTTCTTGACTACCCAAGTATATTTTTAGGAGACCAGAGCATATGTACTGTAGATCAGTCATAGCACATTTGGCAACTCGAGAAGAAACACGTCTATAAATACAGAGCTCACGTCTTTCATAATTTAATCTGCTTTTGCGTGTTAACCAATAGTGTCTCCCCCATTTTTCTTATCCCTGGGTGGGCTCCAGCCCAAAGGCTGGGGGTTCAAAGCCAGCTTGAACCCCTCCTGACGTAGTGAACCTGCCCTTTCCCTTTGCTCACAAAGCCGGGTGGCAAATGAGAGCCAGAGCTTGGCTTTGCATCTCAGCAGAGCTCGCTGCTGCCTCTGCCTGCCCGGCGGTCAGCATCTGCCAGGGGCACACCATGGGCACAGGGTCTTCTCCAGCTCCTACCAGCACTTTGGGTGAGGCTAAATGGAGCAATCCCAAAAGCAAGAGAGACCAGAAGCTTTCGAAATGCAAGGAGTACTTGCTCCATTTGCATTTCTCCTCCTGCCAGGCTCCCCATAACAGCATGGCCTTCGTTATTTGGATGTATCAGTTAAAGATGCAATGAGACATATTTCTGAGAGGGTTCCCCAAAGCACCCCATGATCTGTCCTCCTGCTTTGGGCTCTCCAAAGACACTACTTACCTCTCCTGGGAACAATTCATCCTCCGCTCAGTGACCTCTCTACGGGTCCTCTCTAGGCATGTGTTTGGGGCTGCTCAATAAAGACTTGCATGAAAATATCTAGGATTTTAAAACAATAAGGACTGCACACATGAAGAAAGCTGTGAGCGAGAGGACGGAGCACCTCTCCCCACACCCACTGCAGCACAGTGTCATTTTTCATGCCTGACCTTGTCCCAGCAGCCATCACTTCTTCTTCTACAGCGACTTGCAGCCTCGTCCTCTCGCCCACCAGGTCGCCGCGACTCCTCGGGAATCCGCCTCTACTACACAGCCACCCTGCGACGCTACGACGCCGGCATCATGGAGCTGGGCTTGGTTTACACGCCGGTGATGGCCATTCCCCCAGGCGAGGACGCTTTCCTCCTCACGGGGTATTGCACTGACAAATGCACCCGGCTGGTGAGTGCCCATCCTCTCCGCCCTGGCGTCACCTCGGAGAAGAGAGGTTGCAATGGCTTTTCCCAGGTCCCAGGCAGCGGTGATACGGCACCGAGCTTCGGGCTCCCAATTCCCTGTTTTAAACTCCCTGAACCCCTTACCATGATGTTGTGCTGGAGAGAAAAAATCTGCCGTGTACAGCAAAGAGCGAGCAGCTGGTTGGGACGTGCTGAATCCCCCTCAAAGCCGCTCTCCTGGGGAGCCATCTGCTCTGGCTCCCCGGGGTCCCATTCCCATAAAACTTACTGCCAAGCTGGCTGTGCCTCGGCGGTGCTTTCCCCCACGGAGGTGGGAAGATCGGCCTCTGCTTCCAAGGAGCTCGCCAAGAGCTCTCTCAAGTATGGTTTCAAAATGCCCACCTTGCTCCCAGGGAAGTTTTAGCGGATGTTTCTGTAGGGCCTACCCAAAAGGAATTATTTGTGCCACCACTAATGAAGGCAAGGAAGCAAGCAGCGTCTGGCTCAGCTGCTCCCGCTGACTTAGGGCACGGCGGCGCATAAATTGGGTTTGGCAGCGGCCCGAGCGTCCGTCCCTCTGCAGGGAGCTCACTTCTACCCTGCCCCAAGGGCACAGCAACCCCCAAAGCCCCGTGCGGGAGCCAGCGCAGGGACGGCTGGTCCCAAGCACGCAGCAAGGGGACGCGTGGGAGGGGAGAGGGATGATGGGGTCAGGCACCGGGGCTTGAGCCGTCCTTCCCCCAGGCTCTGCCCGCTGCTGGCATCCGCATCTTCGCCTCCCAGCTCCACACCCACCTGGCGGGAAGGAAAGTGGTGACGGTGCTGTCCCGGGACGGCAGAGAGAGGCAGGTCGTGAATGCCGACGGTCACTACAGCCCTCACTTCCAGGTACGGGGGTCTGCAGGGGCAGCGGGGGTCCTGGCTGGACGTCACCCACCGGCTGCCCCGGGCACAGCGGCCGTGGCGTGGCTCTGATGCGTCCCCTTTCCTTCCCTCCCAGGAGATCCGCATGCTGAAGGAGATGGTGGCAGTTTTTCCGGTGCGTAGCTCCAAAAACCGTGGTGGCTTCCAAACAACACGAGACCTTCCCCTGAGCCCGCAGCCCTGAGACCCCCGACTCCTTTACGCCACCTCCTCCCCT